GGCAGTCTACTCCCATAGTGATACTGCCTCAGAAACTCAGGGGTCACTATGAGTCGGATCAGACTCGATGGCAGTGAATGAGTTTTAGTTTAGTAGTCTAGTAGTCCTACTAAAAAAAATAAACAGATGAAATTAATTTTTAATAATTTTAACTCAATTTATCAAAATATTATTTCAACTTGTAATTAATGAAATACTAAAATATCTTGCTGTTTATATTTCTTCTCATATAAAGTCTTTGAAATCCAGCACATTTTATTTACATTTAACACACATCTCAATTTGAGCTAGACACATTTCATGTGTGCACTAGCTACATTTAGCTAGTGACTAGTCTTAGGCAGTGAAGTAAGTACAGATGCATGGGAAACAAGTAAGAAAACATTTCCCTATGTCTAACTAAAACAACTTAAAGGTTAGTAATTATTTTAGTTGCTAGCTTTTATAAAACTCATTAATCAAAACAAAGTTAATGAAGCATAAATTTTTGATGTGTCCAAATATGATTTTTCAAAGAAAAGTATATCACCAGGTATCTATGTATCTACTATCACTGGGTAAACTTTTAAGAATTGCATTCATATAAAGTATTTTAAGTAAAAACTTCGAAAGAGTCACCTTTATATTATCTATTAACTTCTATTATCCTTAAAGATTCTAGCTACAAATTACCATCTGAAAGTTTAAAGTAATGCCTTCTCAATTCTTACATATTTTCCCGTCAAGTCTTTTCCAATTTAAGAACTTTAACAAAAAATAAAATATGCTAAATATCTTGGCATATTAAAAAAAACCCACTACCGTCAAGTCTATTCCGACTCATAGCAACCCCACAGGACACAGCAGAACTGCTTCAAAGAGTTTCCAAGGCTGTAAATCTTGATGGGAGCAGATTGCCACAACTATCTCCCACACAGAGGCTGGTGAATTTGAACCGCCAACCTTTCAGTTAGCTGCCGAGCACTTAACCCTGTGCCACCAGGACTCCTTTCTTGGCATATAGCCACTGGAATTAATGGCTTGTAAAATAAAAATTATTCACCTTTTATAAACTGCCATATTTGAATATTAAAACTAATCTTGTTTGTTAAAATTTGCAAATGACTAAAAAAATCTTGGTTTTAATTATATCACATTATTTATAACCTAGCTTCAATTCTATGCTTTGATATTTTTACAGTGATTAGAAAATAAAAATAAATACAAGCAAAACTGCTTGAGAAAACTAAATAAATCTAAAAAGACATACCTTCCATCTGTTTATCATGTAACAGCTGCTGTTCTTTTTCTTTTCTCCAAAATGCTTCCTGTTTTTGCCGGATCCGATGCCGTAATTCTTCATCATCAGTGTCAGATGACTCAGAGCCTCTGTAGCTCCTCTCATCTTCACTGTCTCCTGATCCATAACCACCCAGTCCACCTGCGTGCATAAAGCCCAGTCTATCATACAGAAAAATTATACTATGCACTAAAAACTTTTTAAGGTCTGAGAAGAAAGCTCATTTCTCTTTTCTTTGCATTTTCTTAGAAGAAATGACTATTCAGGGTGGGGAGGAGTATACATTCCACTATTTAAGGAGTTCATGGAACCCTCATGCTAATGATTACTTAGTATTTGATCTTATTTTTTCTGAAATATTTCATACAGTTCTTACCACAGAAGAATCATGTTAAAAGTTTTGTTTAATTCTCTGTGCTAACCAATATAACCATTTAACAGGATAGATAATAATAAAGCCTCATTAAAGCCTAATCAATTCAAATACCTTAAAAAATTTATGACAACCCTAAAAATATTTCTAAAATCAAATTTCTCTGTTAAAACTTAGAAATCCAGGGGAGTATGCTAAGCATTTTTCCCTTGATAATTAGAACATTGTAAAACTTTAACAGGTAAAGAAATGGTATGGTGATCAAACTACTCCCCACCCTGAAGCGATCCAAACAGTAATCAAACAAAATTCACATGGGTATTTGGTTCTACCCATTTCTCTTGATCCTCAAATTAATTTGAAATGAAGGATGTGGAAAAGGCAAATTCAAGCTTTTACAGCCTTGACTGTATATCATGCAAATAGCAAATTATGAGCACATCACTAGTATTATATTCAGATAACATAAACCCTGTCCTCCTAGGTTAGAACATCATCTACTGCAACACAGTCTATATAAAAGTCACTAAGAGCATTAAATGAGTATGTTTTTCCCTACAGTATGTATGCAATAATTTAAAAAGTGAGTTAGATATTATTATGGTTAAATTATGAACTACTAAATACAAACTATGTATATGCATATATTGGAGCAATTAATGAGGAAATCCTCTATTTCAACCTGCTCCAATAAACTATGGATTAGTCATCACATTTATAATAGTCCCACTGTGAATGTTTTAGTTTAAAAAAAAAAAAAAAAAAGCAAATCTTTTAAAGACTGTTATAATCTAAGACCTGGGCTTTATAAACTGAATAGGAATAGTACAGTTTCAAAACAGAACATGTAGAGACACAAGGTAAATGTGTTTTTCCCTTTAAGGCCCTCTCACAAATAAAGAGAACACTTACCTAGTCCAGTGAGGGAAGCCAGTGCACTGGACTGTGCCAGCTGTTTTGCAGGAGCTTTGTATCACATCAACAACAGGAACAACATGTTAACACAAATAGCCACGATTTCATAGTCATGTGAGTCTATGGTATTGTTAAATCTACTACTATTGCTGCTTTTTGGGGAGACAAGAAACATTAAAAACATAACATTCATTTTAAACCAGTAGCATGTCTGGCTTTGAAATTATAATTCTGATGTGACCTGAAATTGGTTCATAAAAAGGAAAAATGTTGACTAGTATATCTGTATTCCTATTTCTGAAGTGGCCATAATTTAATTTTTGTTTTCAATATATTTTAAAAATAGTACTGAAAGTATAGAGGGGTGATTCCCTCCTCCTGGAAAAACTGTAACTGGTAAACAGTGAAAACTTTGACAGTTTGTGATTCAATTCATTGGTCAAACAGATATTAGGAAGTCATACACCAATACCATCGTATCTATAAAAAAGTCAGATGAAATCAATGGAACATCAGGAATTTTCCACAATGCATTTTACAGGACGACAGCATGATTGCTAACTTGTGCTCAAGTAGGTCAGATGAAACAAAAATATATGTATGGTTTTAATACGGTATCTACAAATTTAGTCTTTCCCAAAGAGTTAAAACATGCAAGAAGAGAATATTCAAATGCCTGATAATAATTCAACAAGGGCAACAAAAAAGTCCAAAATAGCTACCAAAACCAAAGCACCCCCACAAAACAAACCCAAGAACACCCACAATATACCTTTCGTTGCTTTCCGGTGTGCATCTTTGGCTACATAATAAATTTCTTCATCTGTCACGTCCAATAGAATTTCAGTCAGAAGCATTTTTGTCAACAACATCTAAGGAAGGACATTTTATAAAATATTTCTATTTAATTATTATAGTTACTAACACAGTATGATATTTTCAGGAAAACTGAAAAACATTTCATAAAAAATTTCACACATAAAACTTAGGGAGTACTTTATAAACAGCTTTAAGAGATCAGATCATCCATTCCAAGGATTATAGTATCTTGAAATTTTTTCTAAAACATCTAAAATTAAAAGAATTTTAGAATCATATGGATTAAAGAAAAAAACATGAATTTACCCATATTGTAGAAACACTAAATTCTAATTCTACAGACAAAAAATTAGAAAGTTCTATTAGTAAAATGTCCTTAGGTGTCCAGTGTTCACAGACAATAATATTATCAATGAGCAGCATAACTTTAGTTATTAAACCACTTAAGGACTTAACAGAAGAGGAAGAAAATGAGGAAGATAAGCAAAAGTGAATCATTTCATTCTGCTAGATGAAGTACTTTACTCTTATTACTTTAAAATACTACTGAACTACTAGCGGTGTTGTTAGATGCTGTTGAGTCAGCTGCCACTCATAGTGACCCTACATACAAAAGAACGAAACAGTGCCCAGTCCTTAGCCATCCTCACAATATTTGCTATGCTTCAGCCCACTGTTGCAGCCACTGTGTCACTCCATTCCAATGAGAATCTTCCTCTTTTTCACTGACCTACTTTACCAAGAATAATGTCTTTTTCCAGGGACTGGTCCCTTCTGGTGACACAAAGTATGTGAGATGAAGTCTCACTATCCTCACATCTAAGGAGCATTCTGGTTGTCCTTCTTCCAAGACAGATTTGTTCATTCTTCTAGTAGTCTGTGGTATATTCAATATTCTTTGCCAACACCATAATTCAAATGCATGAGTTCTTCTGCAGTCTTCTTTATTCACTGTCCAGCTTTCACACATATACAAGGCAACTAAAAATACCAATCAATGGCTTGGGTCATGTATATGTTAGTCCTCAAAGTGACATCTCTGCTTTTAAATACTTTGAAGAGAATTTTTGCAGCAGATTTAGCCGCTACAATACATCATTTAATTTCTTGACTGTAGCTACCATGGGCATTGATTGTGGGCCCAAGTAAAATGAACTCCTTCACAACTTGAATCTTTTCTCCATTTATGATGATGGTCCAGTTGTGAGGATTTTTGCTTTCTTGATGTTGAGATGTGATCCACAATGAAGGCTGTAGTCTTTGGTCTTCATAAGTAAATGTTTCAAGTCTTTTTCACTTTCAGCAAGCCAGGTTGTGTCGTCTGCATACCACAGGTTTTTAATGAGTCTTCCTCCAATCCTGATGCTTCATTCTTCTTCATATAGTCCACCTCTTGGACTATTTGCTTAGCATGCAGATTGAATAAGTATGGTGAAATGATACAACCCTGATGCACATCTTTACTGATTTTAAATCACGCTGCTGTATCCCCTTACTGTGTTTGAATGACTGCCTTTTGGTCTATGGACAGGTTCTACATGAGTACAATTAAGTGTTCTGCAATTCTCATTCTTCACAATGTTATTTATAATCTGTTATGATCCATACAGTCTAATGTCTTTGCATACTCAATAAAACACAGGCAAACAATTTTCTAGTGTTCTGTGCTTTTAGAAAAGATCCATAACATCAGCAATGATACTTTTTCCATGTCCTCTTTTAAATTGGCTTAAATTTCTGGCTATTCTCTGTCAGCACACTGTTTTAACCATTACAAGCAATCTTCAGCAAAATTTTACTTGCATATGATATTAGTGATATTATTCAATAATTTCCACATTCTGTTAGGATCACTGTTCTTTAAAATGGGCACAAATATGGAGCTCTTCTCAGTCAGTTGGCCAAGCTGTCTTCAAAATTTCTTGGCAGTGACGAGTGAGTGCCTTTAGCGTTACATCCATTTGTTGAAAAAATCTCAATTGGTTGCAATTCCTAGAGCCTTGCCTTTTTTGCCAATGTCTTCACTGCAGCTTGAACTTTTCCTCAAGACCATCAGTTCTTGGCCATTTGCAACCTCATGAAATGACTGGATGTCAACCAAATCTTTTTTGTACAATGATACCATGTACTCCTCCTTCCATCTTCTTTTGATGCTTCCTATGTTGCTCATATAGGCCCACAGAATCCTTCAATATTACAACTTGAAGCTTGAATTTCTCCTTTAGTATTTTCAGCCTGAAAAATGTTGAGCATGTTCTTCCCTTTTGGTTTTCCAACTACAGGTCTGTGCATACTTCATTATCCTACTTTACCTTGTAATCTTGAGCTGCCCTTTGACAAAATCCTGAAATCTTCTGTTCATCTCTTTTACTTCATCATTTCTTCTATTCGCTTTAGCTAGTCTATGGTCAAAAGCAAGTTTCAGATTTTCTTCTGACATCCAGTTTGGTCTTTTCTTTCTTCCTGTCTGTTTAATGACTTTTTGCTTTCTTCATGTATGATGTCTTTGGTATCATACCACAACTTGTCTAATCTTTGCTCATTAGTGTCCACTGCATCATATCCCTTCTTGAAATGACCTCTAAATTAAGGTATAATACACTCAAGGTTGCACTTTGACTCCAAAGGACTTGTTTTAATTTTCTTCAGCTTCAACTTGAAGTTGCATACTATCATATCAATTGGTGGTCTGTTCTACAGTCTGCCACGGCCTTGTGCTGGCTGACGACAGCTTCTTCACTCTTTCCACAGATATAGTCCATTTGATTCCTGTGTATTCCATCTGGTAAGGTCCACGTGTATAATCGTAATTTACATTGTTGAAAAAAGGTATTTACAGTAAAAAGGCCATTGTTGTTGTTGTTGTTGTTATGTGCCGTCGAGTCAAACCCGACTCATAGCGACCCCTCCTTGGGTTTCCGAGGCAGTATCACTACGGAAGTAGGATTGCCCAACCTTCCTTCCGAGGAGTGGCTGGTGGGTTTGAACCGCCAGCCGTCTGGTTAGCAGGCAAGTGTCTTAGCCACTATGCTACCAGAGCTCCCAAAAGGCCACTGGTCTTGCAAAATTCTCTCATCCAATATCTGGTGGTATTTATATTACCCAAAGCCATTATTTTCCAACTACTAATCCTTCTTGGTTCCAACTTTTACATTCCTATCACCAGTTAATTATGAATGCATCTTGAGTGCATGTTTAGTCAATTTCAGATAGTAAAAGGTGATAAAGATCTTTAATTTCTCATCTTTGGCATTAGTGGTTGATGTATAAATTTGAATATTAATAGTATTAAGTCTTCCTTATAGGTATACAGATATTACCCTATCACTGACAGTGTTGTACTTCAAGACATATCCTGAAATGTTCTTTTTGACAATTAATGCCATGCCATTCCTCTTCATTTTATCATTCCTGGCAGAGTAGACTACTTAATGCCTTGTCTGATAAAAATGGCCAATACCAGTCCATTTTAGCTCACTAATGCCTAAGATATTTATCTTTATGTGTTGCATTTAGTTTTGACAACTTCCAATTTTCCTAGATTCACACTTCATACATTCCATGTTCCAAATATTAATGAATGTTTCTTCAGCTCTTTCTTCTCATTTTGAGTCATGCTACATCAGCAAATGAAGGACTTGAAGCTTTATTCTATCCATGTAATTAAGGTTGACTCTAGTTTGAGGCGGCAGTTCTTTCCTAGTGTATTTCAAGTGTGTTTCAACCAGAGGGGCTCATCTTCTGGTACTGTATTCCTAAGACTTTCAGTGGCCAAATTTTTCAGAAGTAAATTCCCAGCCCCTCCTTCCTAGCCTTAGTCTGAAAGTCCTGCTGAAACCTGTCCACCATGGGTGACTCTGCTGGTATTTGAAATACCGGGGGCATAGCTTCCAGCATCACAGAAGTGTGCAAGCCACCACAATATGTCAAACTGACAGACAAATATATAGGTCCACTCATAAGAGTTAACATGGTATCAAATGGATGCTAAAGTTGAATTCAGGGCTGGATCTAGGCCTACTTTGGCTACCAAAAGTCCTTTGAAATTGTGGACTATTAGTTCCTTAGTGTCTCAAGGCTCCAGATTACTCATCTACTAATATAAGAGTAAGCGTAGTGCCTAAGGCACTTGACTGCTAACCAGAAGGCTGCTGGTTCAAACCCACCAGCCACTCCTCGGAAGGAAGATGGGGCAATCTACTTCTGTAGTGATAC